TCAGGGAATGAGTGGAGAAAGAAAACGCAGTGTGCAGAGAAAGTGAAATATTACTCAGCCTTTTTTTAAAAAAAGATTTTATTTATTTATTTGAGAGAGATTGAGAAAGCGCACATGAGAGGGAGAAGCAGACTCTCCGCTGAGCAGGGAGCCAGATATTGCGCTGGATCCCAGTACCCTGGGATCATGACCTGAGCCCAGGGCAGACACTTAACAACGGAGCCACCCAGGCGCCCCAATATGACTCAGGCTTATAAGGAAGGAAACCCTGTCGTTGGTGATGACATGGATGAAAGTGGAGGTCTGCTTGCTAATTGATATAAGCCAGACACAGAAAGGCAAAAACTGCACACTGTCACTTATGAGTAGAATCGAAAGAAATTGAACTGTAAAGAGGCAGAGCAGAATGGTTGTTGTCAGGGGTGGGGGAGGGATGGGAAATACTAGTCAAAGGGCACCAGGTTTCAGTTATGCAGGATGCATAAATGCTGGACATCTAAGCATGGTAACTATAGCTAATAATACTGTATTGTATGCTTGAAATTTGCTAAGAGGAGATCTTAACTCTTTGCATGAAAAAAAAAGAAAGGAAAAGAAAAGAAAGAAAAGGTAACACGCAGAGTGATGGATTTATTGACTAGCTTGACTCTGGTAAGCATTTCACTATGCATATGTATATCAAAACATCATATTGTGCACCTTAAATAGACACAATTTTTATTTGTCAATCATACCTCCGTAAAGCTGAAAAAACAAACAAACAAACAAAAAAAAACAAACAGACAATAGCAAGGTTCTAGGTTCCCTTCTTCCCAGTTTGTTTACCAAGTCCCTCTGTTCCTGAAGGAATGTGGGCAGAAGAGTGCAAATACACTTCCCACACATCCACACAAACACACGCATCCATGTATAAAGACAAGTGTGACAACAGCACAAAGGGGGTTCTTCTGTGCCAATGGGTATTTGGCAAGTGTCACATCTTGTGTTTACTTTTAGCAATAAAGATGAGAGGCAATCAACAAAACTGGATGTTTATTGCAGTCCCCTGTTTTCAAAGATGAAGGATAGGTGGGCCCCCAGAGAAAGCGTATTGTCTGGAAATGACGGTTTCCTGGCGCTCAACGCTCAGGAGAGACATGGGACAGGGCAGCTTCCTGTTAAACCCAAAGACCTGTTGTCTAGGACTCATCCAGTCATGTCAGTATCAAGACCCACTATTTCCAGCTCAGTTTCTTCCCGGGATTCAATCTTGTAATAGCCAACATGGTAAACCCTGCCTACCCAACGTCCATCCTCTTCTTTTCCTTGTTAGTAGTAAAAGAAATACGGCTATTAGGTGGTGGGGGGGTGGTGGTGGTGGAAGGGCAGGTGGTAGCCATGTTCCCTGCTGGAAAAACTACATTTCCCAATATCCTTTGCAGCCAGAACTGGTCAGTTCTGACCAAAAGACAAAGGCAGAAGATTTCAATGAGCAGGCAATATGTGTTTTGTGCCCTCATATCACGTCCACGGCAGAAATGTGGAAGAATGGCATCTGTTCCCCTAAGGAGGGAGAGCCCAGCCTCTCCAGAGAGGAGAGGCCACCCCTGGGGGGGCAGTCTCTGGAGACAAAGCTGGGTGAGAGCCACCAGAATCTTCTCTGGTGAAGAAGTGGGAGCAAGAGCAGGACATGATTACAGCGGCAGAGTGGGAGGACCAAGAACATTCTCATTCTTTCTTTGGAGACTCTCAATCGACCCGTGGTTAAAGCCACCTCCATGGTCAATCAGGTGATGTGTTCTATAGCTTATGTGGGCCGGAGAGAATGGAAGGAAAACCAGGGGAGAAACACAGAGATGTTTCTGTGTTTTATCGGGATCTAATTACGAAAATGTTTAAGTGGAAAACACAAAGCCCCACGAGGTGAAGCCAGAGCCCTTCTAGTGCACGTGATGACCACAGTCTTTCTGCTTTGGGAATGACAATAGTTCGTCATGGTGCGTTTCCCTTGAAGAGCTATTTCCAGTGTCTGATTGAAGCAGCCTGTGGCTGAGGAAATGAATAACGTAAATCCCACAATTCGCTTAGATTCCTCCCTCCACATCGGAGCTGGGTTAAAATGCTTTGTGATGAGCAAATGTCCCCCGTAGGAACTGGAAGGTGGACATTGTGGGGCTAGAAACTGTACGACACTGCTTGAAATGCCTGCTTCGTGTGTTCCCGAACCTCGGATCATAAGCACAGACTGCCAAATTGCCCTGAGCAATCCACCCTGTAGCACTTAAAACAAAAAGAGACAGAGAGATTGTTTTTAAAAAAACAAATTTGAAGATTATTGCTTTCTTCCTTCTGGATTCTTCCTACTGGTTATCCTGCTTTACTGCAAGGACTTTGGAATATTGTCACCTCTTAAAAGCAATCTTCTTTTCTTGCTCTAGGCACACAAGTCTGGCCTGCGTGCTGTGGGAAGTGCCACCAGGCTCCTGCTTTCCCAGAATCCCAGTCCGGATGTTAAGTACCCTCTACAAGAGGAATGGGCAGAAATCAAAGAGAAAATTCTTTTTTTTTTAGAAAAAAGGAGAAGGGGATATGTTATCTGTCTCTGACCATATTATTTGAACACCAGCTCCTTTTTATTTATTTTTTTTTTTTGGATAGGATCCCACAGTCTTAGTCCCCCCAGTCTCAAAAATAGGATCCTTAACACTACATTTCCCAGTTTCCCTTGCAGCTGGATCCAGACATGTGACCTAAGTTCCACCAATCAGACACAGACATTCAAAACTGATTTGGAAGTAAGCTAAGGCTGAAGAAGCTCTGGGGAGGAGGGACCCAGCTCTTCAGACACAAGTGGTGGCAGAGGCAGTAGCAGAGAGTGCCAACTTGCCAACCCTCGCAGCTCTGCAGAATGTTTTAGGGATCCTTGGGCAGGCGCTAACCTCCTCCTCAACCCGGTCAGGGGCGTGGCTTTGATCACCCAACCTGCTAGTTTAACCTCCAGTCCATTTCTCTGGTCTTCCCTGCCTACTACCTTCTCATAAAATTTCCTTTCCTGGGGCGCCTGGGTGGCTCAGTGGGTTGGGCAGCTGCCTTCGGCTCAGGTCATGATCTCAGGGTCCTGGGATCGAGTCCCGCATCGGGCTCTCTGCTCGGCGGGGAGCCTGCTTCCCTCTCTCTCTCTCTCTGCCTGCCTCTCTGTCTACTTGTGATCTGTCTCTGTCAAATAAATAAATAAAATCTTTAAAAAATAAAATTTCCTTTCCTGCCAAAAGAAACCAAGGAGGTTGCTGTTCTCTGCAGCTAAAAATTGCCCTGTTGAAGCGACACACACTTCGATATGTGATAAGCCTGCACTTGCAGAGGAGGGTTCAAGAAAGCTCTTCTAGTAGGGAACAGTCTATCTTTTAAATAAACAGATTCTAAGGCTGACTTGGCCTGGGCACAGAGGAGCCTCGCAAGGGTCAGGAGATATGAGGGAGCTGTTCTCGTCTCTCAGAACACACAGAGGAAAAATAATTGCAGCGAAAACACAAGATCACAGCTACTCTTCTGACATAAGCAAAGAAGTGACCATCTAGGCGGGGCGGTTCTGAGAGTATTGTCTTACTCTCCGTGCCGGAAGCGTCACCATTCGAGGTCCGTTTTTGTCTTCACAAGTGTGCTGTCAGGGGTGAATCCTGGTGGTCAGGGGGGCTTACGCCTTGATCCTTAGCTGCCTGGCGGACTGCGGCTGACACAGGTCAGGACCAGGTTGGGAAAGACACCAGGAGAGCCCGGGGAAGAAGTCGGCGTGGTAGGCACTGCTGACACATTTTGTGTTTCTCCTCAAGGCTGGCTCTGTGTAAGTTGTGAGTCAACAGGGTTTTGAGAGAAATTAGAAAGAAAACATGACATCTTACGTGGTTCTTTGACAATCAAAACAAGAGCAAGATAAATCTCTTGACTGTTTCAAATGTGATTTCCCTAAATGAAGGAAATCTAAAACATATGGCGAGAAGCTTTAAAATCTGCTCGTGTAAATGTCATGATAAATTTGGAACCAGTGAGTGATACCAACCGCCAGGCCACGTTCTCTGGAAATGGAAGGGAATCTCTCAAATTCATCTTCTTTTGTTGTGCAGCTGACTAAGTCTGCCTGTGGGGGCCACTTTCCTCCCAGACCGGCAGTGAGATTTTTGAAGAAAGAGCGCTACTTGCTAGGCTTAAGTATACTGAAAAGGAGGTTAAAAACGAGGTGACATGGACAACGTTAAATGTTACAGAACATCTGGTGACTTTGGATGTTTGAATCCCAGTTCCATCTACTCGGTAACCTTGGCCGAGTCACTGACCTCTCGAATGCTCTTTCCCCATCTAGTAAGTGAGAAGGCTCATTCTCGGCTTATAAACCTATTAGGAGGAGAATATTGATAACATTGGCAAAATACCTGGTCATTGTAAGGGCTAAAGAAATGGGAATTATTAAGTGACGAGTGATCCTCTATCTTTGGCCTAGCCCACGCGATGGTAGAGATAAGGGACTATGAGCTTCTAGTCAAGGCCTCTAGAAAGGCTGCAGGTCACTACAAGGATTTAGTAAGTGGCCTTCAGGAGGGAGAGTTTAAAACCCAGCCTGCCTTCATCATCGAGCACACAAGTTCATTACAAGCTGTTTGTTAACCTCTGCCACATCCTTTCATTTGGAATTGAAATAAGAGGACTACCTGTGCTTTGGACAATGTGCTTACGTTTTTTATTGTGAATGGTAGGAGGTTGAGGACTGGAATCTAATTGACAAAGAGCTTGGATGTAAAGAGCATTAATTGGAAAACACTTTAGGACAATTAATCACAGCAAACAAATTCAAAACAGAAGATGCTGCTTAAAAATCATGAATTTAGTGAAGGCTGAAGGATACAAGAATAGTTAAGTGTTTTGCACAAAGGAAATCTTGTTGAAGATCCAGTAGAACTGATGCCCGTAGAACACAATCTCCTAAGGGTTTTGCTTTGCTTCGTTGAGAGAGGCCGTTGCTGTCCCGGTTAGTTCGGCTGGGGGTTCCTTCCTGCACGTTGAGGACCTGGAGCAGAGAGTCCGCCAACTTAAAAAATATTAAAAAGACGGAAGCAAACATAGTTAGCGATCCTGAAGTCTACTGCTAAAGGCAAATACATTCCCAACAAACCATGGGCATCACTTGGGAGCTCGTTAGAAAGGCAAATTCCTGGGTCTACCCCAGACTAGTGAATTGGAAACTCTGGGGATGGAGCCCAGCGATCTAGGCTTCCAGAAATCCTCTGGGTGATTCTGAGCGTGTCCATAGCTCACAGCTATCCTGAGAGAGAGGGAGGGAGGGAGAAACTGACTTCCTCTCTTTCCGGAGCCACTGAATGTGTGGTTCTTTTCGTTCATATTAGCTTAACTTTGTTCCTGATATGACTATTCAGGTCTATTTTGACCAACGTTGGAAATTAAATGTATGATCGTCAGGAATTTGTTACTAAAGGGTCAGCGGGGCAAGGGGACTATTAGCGAATACGGAATCTCAATTCTTACTTCGCTTACGTTGGCAATGCCCCATTGCACAAATCAGAGCTAGTTTACGAACCACATGATTGCACATTACGAAGCCATGACGGCAAGAGGTGGTAGTGTGCAACCTGGAAACAGGGGCCAGTCTGGATTTCCGCCAATTCTGAATTTACTGTGGCTTGCTCTGTGGCTTCTGTTCACATTGGGACTGAAGAAAGAATGAGTAGTTGTAATGTTAAAATACGTCTTTGTTCCCATATAGCACCCTTTATATGCTGAGATGAGAAACCGCCTTTCAACCAGATTCAAGCTTATTACCCTTATTATGCCTTCCAAGATTCTCTGCCCCTTCAGGTGCCCCAGTGGCCAGACCCGCCACTTGTTTCTAATAAAGGAATTACTGAAAATCTCAGGCCAGTTATTACCTGCTCAACTGTTTTGACCAGGTGTTAATGAGGCCAGGGCCTGGGGTTCGATTCCCACACAGAGCAATTAGTTTTGCTTTCCTCCATGTGCCCGGGCGGCACCACAAAGTGTCACCAGCCTGCCTGAAGATGCTTCCGCCCATCTTGCAATATGAGCCACTGGTCATAAAGAGGGGGCAGTGGGAGAGGTGGGTGAGGATCCGTGAAGCCCCCACATTGGCTCAAAATACTGAATCTGAGCTGTTTGGCTCAAGGGAATGGAAGTAAAGCTACAAGGAAAAAAGGAGTTGGTAACCTAGAAAGATCGAGGACACAGAGGTGGGAGGGAGGGACCCGTTATTGGGGGGGAGCTATATTTGAGGTGGGGGTGACTTCACTCTGGTCCTTCATAGTGACTGTTAGGGCAATCGGGGCATTTTTAGTTATTCTCAATTATATGTTGCTACTTTTCTTATATTGGAACTTCCTTTGGAGAGTTTCACATATTCAGATAAAAAAACCTTTCTATGCGCTGATTTGATTGGACAGTGGAACCATCACTTAAAATTGAGGGCAAACTCACACACTTACTTCCTTTCCATAACACCCTCTGCAGTGCACTCCCTGGGCCCCTTTCTTCCTGTCCACCAAATAACAGGAAAAAAAAAAAAAAGGCTACAAAGAACCATGGTCTATGTCCAAATTACAAAAGGAATCCGAAGGCCAACTTCAACCTTCACTGAAACTCAAGACAATCCACAGCTGTATCTAGCATTACGGATTAGGCCCTGGCGCTGGTTTGAACACTGTTGCATGTGATAGAAACCATTGGGTCGGGGCGGCTGGGTGGCTCAGTGGGTTAAGCCTCTGCCTTTGGCTCAGGTTGTGATCCCAGTGTCCCGGGATGGAGCCCCACATCGGGCTCTCTGCTCCACGGGGAGTCTGCTTCCTCTCCTCTCTCTGCCTGCCTCTTTGCCTACTTGTGATCTCTGCTTGTCAAATAAATAAATAAAATCTTAAAAAAAAAAAAAGAAAGAAACCATTGGGTCAAAGTTCCATTAATTTTGTGTGATAAGGGTACTGTTAAAAGATGAAGGTTAACCTTGAAAATGATTGCCCGTGATTGCTAATAATGTTCCGGAGCTCGTTTGCCATGATACAGTAGTCCAGATTCAGTGCACATTTGCACAAATCTTTTCTGAATTTAAGTAAATATCTTTGCCACCAAAACATAGGAAGATGCTCAGAGTTTCTGATTACAGCTATGGGAGATTTGGCAACAGGACTTCATGTTTTATTACTAAAATGGGAGAGGAGAGCATATGTGGATAGTTTTTAATTTTAAGAAAAGTCCTTCAGCCTTTGAAAATTCCTGCTGCTACTTCTGGCAATGCTCGGCTAAGTTATTAAACTTCTTTCTAACGCCGAGTGATATATGGGTTTCTAATAGAACCATTTTCTTGGTACTCCCTCTTTGTGAATAAGAAAACTGTAAGATGTTTTCAATTTGCCTATCAACATTCTTTCACTAAGACGGAATTTCCACAGCAAGAAGATGATAAATTCTTGGTCTATGCAACAAGTACACTAACTGTTGAATTTTTTCATATCGCTGGGAAATATATCCTAAAGAATGGTACCAATGTGTGCAGTAAATAGTTCATTATTTGACTAAGGTGGAACGAAATGCGGGGTATCTGGGTGACTCAGTCAGTTGGGCATCCAACTCTTGTTTTCAGCTCGGGTCAAGATTTCAGGGTGGTGGGATTGAGCCCCACACTGGGCTCCCTGCTCAGCGGGGAATCTCCTTCCCAGGCTCTTTCTGTCCCTCCCCACCTCACGCGCATTCTCTCAAATAAAGTCTTAAAAAAAAAAAAAAGGAATGAAATGGGATGGGCCTCGTAAACTTATAAAAAGAAGAAACACAAAACATAAAAAGATACAGTAGAAAATCGAGGCCTGATTATAAAAAGATGACTTCGTTTCTCCCGCCGAGTCACATGAACACTGAAAAATATTGTCCCTATGACACATTCCCTGTGACTGCCCACTCCATCCACTCCATGCTATCAGCACTCACATGGAGCTGTGTCCTTTCATAATTGGCTTTGCAGCTTACAGGATAGTCTTCTGAATATGACAGGAAAACTCTGATTTTTAAGGAAGGAGCTGAATCTTTATTTTTCAAAAAGATTTAGGGGTGCCCGGGTGGCTCAGTCGGTTAAGCGTCTACCTTCAGCTCAGGTCATGATCCCAGAGTCCTGGGATTGAGCCCCCTGGTACTGGGGGGATGGGGTTGGGGGGTGGGGTGGGGGGTTGGGGTGCCGCGGGTCCCTGCTCAGCAGGGAACCTGCTTCTCCCTCTCTCCCTCTGCCCCTCCCCTAGCTTGTGTGCTTGTACTCTCTCTCTCTCTCGCTGACTCTCTCTCAAATAAATAAACAAAAACTTAAAAATATTTATTTATTTGAGAGAGTGAGAGAGGCAGGAGAGAGAATCTCAACAGACCCCCCACTGAACACAGAGCCCGAGGGGAGCTGGATGGGGAGCTCAATCCCAGGACCCTGAGATCATGATCTGAGCCGAAATCAAGGGTCAGTCACTTAACCAACTGAGCCACTCAGGTGCTGCAGGAGCTGAATTAAAAACAAAAAATAAAAAGCATTCCAAGGTTATGCAGAGCCAAGGTTGGGGGAATAAAGCAACTCAAAGTGGATACTGAAATTTCACTCCAAAGGGTAACGAGCTGCGAGCATAAGTCCATTTCAGTGTTTGTAAAACCGCGTTAGGGATTTTGTTGTGGCGATCCACCGGGGTTACCCCTCAGACAAAGGAGAAAGCGTTGCTCTTGGACATCCCCCCACAGGAAGGCCAGCAAGTCACCTGACCAAGAAAAGGCCAGGGGCTGGGAAGTCCACCCCAAATTCCCAGAGCCCTCAGGGTCCTGTAAGCCACCAACAAAGAAGGGAGGTGGTTGTGACCCCAGTAGTACAGGCATGGGCAAGAGAATGGCTCGGGGCTTTGTACACAGTGGCTGCTTGTTCCTGTATCGGTGAGTTTAATACAGATTTCTTTCTGAATGAAGGTACTGGAGATCTCCTCCCTAGGGTTGATGCAACAAGAGAACTTTCCATTTGTGTTTAGCATCGAAAATCCACAGTAGCCCCAAGCGCTGTGAAACATAGAGCCTCCCTCCAGAGAAGCCAGCTGAGGCTTGGCAAAACCAGCCCTGAGCCTCTGCAAAGGGGGCATCAATCGAAGAGCTGATCACCAGGAACGAGAGAACGGGCCAGCTCCCCAAGCTCTGTGAGTAAAACACAATATCGTTGTTGTCCACGAGGACCCCCCCCATTCCCCAGCAGATGCTTCACGTGGCAGCCGACTCTCCACGGAGCTGGCGTGGACTCCTGCTCCGCTCTCACCAGTGAAAAGCTATGTGTGTGAGAGAGAGAGTAATCGAATTTTCTTGAATCTCCCTCCAAGACTGCTGCGAGCATGCACAGAGACGGTGAAGGTAAACTGCTTTGCCTGGTGCTTAGATTATGGTCATCCCTCAAGTAGCCATCCTTAGTCGTACTAGAATTGTGATGATTGTTTTTGCCTTTTATATAAATTTCATGGAAACTACTTAAAGGTTAACGAGAATCACTTCGTTTTCGGTTGCCTTATTTTCCTATAAATGTTATTATCTCTTCCATCCCATCCCACTCATCTCTTTCATCCCCTAAGCAATGCCAGTTTGGTATGATTCCTCTCTTCTACATAAGAACTCTTCTACCAGAGCATTCACAGGACAAATCAGTTGATTAGATATGTTCACCAAGACAGGGTGCTCTCTTTTTCTTTTTCTTTTTCTTTCTTTCTTTCTTTCTTTCTTTTTTTTTTTTAAAGATTTTATTTATTTAGGGACACCTGGTGGCTCAGTTGGTTAAACGTCAGCCTTCAGCTCAGGTCATGATCCCAGGGTTCTGGGTTCGAGTTCCACATCGGACTCCTTGCTCAACAGGGAGCCTGCTTCTCCCTCTGCCTGTCGCTCCCCCTGCTTGTGCTCTCTCTCTGACAATTAAATAAATAAAATCTCTTTTAAAAAGGTTTTATTTATTTATTTGATGGAGAGAGAGCACAAGCGGGGGGAGCAGCAGAGGGAGAGGGAGAAGCAGGCTCCTCACTGAGCAAGGAGCCCGAGGCAGGACTCAATCCCAGGACTCTGGGATCATGACCTGAACTGAAGGCAGACGCTTAACCGACTGAGCCATCCAGGCACCCCCAGAGTGCTCTCTTCTAAAAGCGTATGTGAATAGCCCCTTCCACAAGTACTCATCAAAAACAAACACGGGGCGAGTTGCCGGAGGCAAGGGAAACCAAAGCAAAAATGAACTATTGGGACTTCATCAAGATAAAAAAACTTCTGCACAGTGAAGGAAACAATCAACAATCCTAGGCAGCCTAGGAATGGGAGACGGCATTTCCAAATGACATATCTGATAAAGAGCTAGTATCCAAAACCTATGAAGAATTTATCAAAAGGAACACCCAAAACCCAAATAATCCCATTAAGAAATGGACAGAAGACACGAGTAGATACTTTTTCCAAAGAAGACATCCAGATGGCCAACAGACACATGAAAAGATGCTCAACGTCACTCAGCATCAGGGAAATGCACATCAAACCACGATGAGATACCGCCTCACACATGTCACAATGGCTAAAATTAACAACGTAAGAAACAAAAGGTGTTGGCAAGGCTATGGAGAAATGGGAACCCTCTTGCACTGTTGGTGGGAATGTGAACTGGGGTAACCACTCCGGAAAACCATATGGAGTTTCCTCAAAAAGTTAAAAATAGAGCTACCCTACCACCAGCAATCGCTCTACTAGGTATTTACCCAAAGGGTACAAAAATACAGATTGGAAGGGGCACATGCACCCCGATGTTTGTAGCAGCATTCTCAACAATGGTCAACTACGGGAAGAGCCCAAACATCCATCAAGTGATGAACAGATAAAGAAGATGTGGTATACACTGTGGAATATTACTCAGCCATCAAAAAGAATGAAATCTTGCCATTTGCAACCACGTGGATGGAGCTAGAGTCTATTCTGCTAAGTGAGATAAGTTAGTCAGAGACAAATACCATATGATTTCACTCACATGGGGAATTTAAGAAACAAAAGAGATGAACATATGGGAATGGGGGGGAAAGGAGAGAGAGAAACAAACCATAAAAGACTCTTAATGATAGGGAACAAATTGAGGGTTGATGAAGGGAGGTGGGGAGGGGAGGGGCTAGATGGAGGATGGGGATTAAGGAGGGCATTTGCTGTGATGAGCACTGGGTGTTGTATGTAAATGATGAATCACTAAACTCTACTCCTGAAAGCAATATTGCACTGTTTGCTAATTAAAATTTAAATAAAATTTAAAGCAAACAAAGAAACATAGGGATTGACTCAAATAATGTCCAGCCTCCCTTAAATATTCTGGGAGAATCCCACCAATGCATAATCGCTAATAAGCATGACTACTGATAAAACTAATTGGGATTTGGAACCAACACCCCTTCAATTCTCTAAGAGGAAAAATCATCTATTATGTTGAAAGGAAATTACATAGGAAGTATCTAGTCACTTCTCAGCGTGAATTGGTAGTCAGCCTAATTAAATGGTTCGAAAGCTCGCACCATAAACAATTTTATTCTTCTGGGTTTGAAACTAATCTCCTTCCAACTGTCCCCCAACACCTCCACCTCCCACCCCACCCCACCCCTTCGCCCCCTCCCACCCAGTACATTATACCTTTAGGTTCTGAACCTAGGAAGTTAAAGTTGCTGTCATCCTGGTAATCCCAAGCAGAAGGGCGAATGCCCAGGGGTGCCCTTTGAGGTGACTGATGACTTCCGGTGCCCTTTGCCTCTAGGAGATTTAGCAAATTCCTCGCAGCTTCTTCCCACCAAAGGTGCTCCTGCAGCTGCTGCTCCAGGCTCCCTCCCTCATAAACAGATGGGGCGCTCTTCTTCCCCATTAAGTGTCCTGTGAAAACAAACACAAGAACAGACTACCACCCGTGGAACGCAGGGGACCGAACCAACAAGACGTTTCAGAGGACACCAATTCGGTTCCCATTACTTCGTCCGAAGTGCAGAATAAAATGCAGCATTTTATGATCAGACGCTTGTTCATAAATGACAGACATCTTTTGCTCCCTGTTCAGAATGTGCAACTAGCTGGACACAATCTACAGCGACAGCTCGGGAGCCCTAGGTTTGCTCCCAGCACTTCAGTTAACCAGCTAGGTGACCTCGGCCAAGGGTTGAGCATCCCCAGTCCTCCATTTTCTCAACTCTACAATGAACAGGTTGGACTAGAGGCAACCTAAGGAGCCTTCCATAAGGACAGTGCTATCACCAATTGTGCTCCCAGCTGAAGAATGGAGGTTAAACATCTCCCTGAGTCACTTCTCAATTGTTGCTGAAAAAAAGAGCTTTGGTGCTTTTCTTCGTTGTGATTTAAAAAGACGTTGGTTTCCTCTGGGCTCTAATACAAATGTACCGATGGAATTTTTCATTTCAACTTTCTTAGAATTTTGGCAGAGACTACATTTAGGAGTTGTCACCTAGAAACTCGTTTGTTGAATAAATAATGAAAAACAAGGTGAAAACAAGTTCTGAGCAACACTTCTCAGCCACATAAATGCAGAATTTTTTCCTAGATGTCTAAAAGGGTCAGTGAAAGACTACCAATGGTTCCAAGGATGAGGACTTGCCATAAAAATGAACAAAAGTTGCCATGTGAGGGGCACCTGGGTGGCTCAGTGGGTTAAAGCCTCTGCCTTCGGCTCAGGTCCTGATCTCAGGGTCCTGGGATCAAGCCCCGAATCAGGCTCTCTGCTCAGCCGGGAGCCTGCTTCCCCCTCTCTCTGCCTGCCTGTCTGCCTACTTGTGATCTCTCTCCATCAAATAAATAAGTAAAATTAAAAACAAAAATAGTTGCCATGTGGGAGGCCAGGCCATTAAATGGAGAAATCCATGTATGCAAGTGGGGCTAGCCACAGGGTCAGAAGTGGGTATGGAGTCCAAGGTCTGCATTCTTAACACCTTAGCCCCTTGCTAATAATACCCACGTTATCTTATTTACTTTCCTCAGTGTTTTTCTTCCCCATCTCTCAGCAATTGGATTTTACAGTACTTTTAGACTCCTAATACTAGTAGAACTATGATGTGTTCGATTTAAAGCTCACAAGGAAAACTCTTTGTGGTTCCAATGTTGTCTGGCATTAGAAGTATTTAAGGCAAACTTTGTGGGGATAATGTTTGCCAGACCTCAACCACTTAAAATGGCAAGAGTTGTATCCGACAGCAGAGAAGCCTTCCCCGTGACTTTACTGTTGGCGTGTGTTTATAGGATGTTTCCTTTGATCTACTCCACAAGGAGTTCGATGCAAATGAGGCTTGCCAAAGACCACCCACGTGTCAGCAGAGATTCTAGGATTAAAATGAGCTCACAGACTGGACTCTACTATGTTATACCGTTTGGAAGGGCCTTTGAACTTCCTAAAAATATAAGGCAGGTAGGAATCACTCCGGGATCTGGAAATAAGGGTAAGGTCTGCAAAAGCGTCTCTTGATGTTATCAAAAGAAATAGGGGTCATATGCCAGTGTATCATGACTCATGATGTGACTCAGAAAAATTTACTCTGTGGGCATTGGGGAACCTTAACATGAGGTTTTACTGCCTTGCAGTGTGAGCAAGGACCTGGCAAGTCATTTATGACACGACATCTCATACAATTCGAAGACCTCACTGAGGACCCGGTCCCAACTGAAGGGTCGGACTCCTGAAGGACCGGCTCGTTTGTTATCTGCTTGGTCAAGTTGGTGTCCAGATATCTGAGAAACCCCCCGGCTTTTAGTCATAGTGATGATTATGAGGCGCACCTTTCCAGGAAGCAGTGAGGCATTTGGATTTATTTGTATGGAGGAAACTGAATCATGACAATGGGAAAGTAGGATTAGAACCTGATGCTCCAGTAATGACCTCAGTCACTCCCACCCTCCCTCACTGCTGTCATCTAGTTAGGACGCTAGAAATGAGAAAGATGCTATGGCCAATTACGCAGAGGGACAATGGAGATGTTTTTACAAATGAAAACTCCATTTTTGGTCATGCCTGAATAATTTGAATAATTTGACAGACTTTAGTAAAATGGGAAAACGAAGTAACCCTCCATTCTGTGATTGACTTAATATAGCTCCTCGTGACAGCATACAGATCTGCATATTGGGTGGGTGGGTGGCGGTCCGACCCCAGCCCCAGATCCAAACACTGGTCATTAAGGGAAGTGCACCATCTCTAACATCCCAAGAAATACACTGCCTGGGTCCTATTTCATTTTCGCTTTGGAGCTGGCCACTACCCACCAAATAATTGTTTCCATGGCAACGCGGATGCCCACTTCCACTTCTCCCATCATTGTTTGTTATGTGTCCGTATCATAGTAATAGAGATCTCAGCATAGACAAAAGACAGGCCCTTGATAAAAATAAAACCTTGCCCAGAAGTTAAAAAAAAAAAATAATTAATTAAATAAAAGCTTCCACTCCTTTTAATCGTGTAAAAATACCACCACCACAGCAGGCTTGAAACAAATGAATTTTCTTGAACTCAAAACATGAAGATCACCCCAACTTGGGAAAATCTCCATTAAGACATAGAGTGTCCAGCACTTCTGAGAGCTAATTTTCCTAGAGTGATCCCTACACCACATTTCACAGTTTCTGGGACAGCACTCCCACGGAAAGCCATTCTACAGCTGAACATCAGTGCCAGAATTCAACCTTCCAGGACATTCGTGACATCAATGTTAGAGCCATGACCAGGAGCATCTCATAGGAGCAGAGGCAAGTTAACAGTAGCAGCGCTGACCTGTATTTTCATACCTACATTTTGCACAAACAAAACATTTCCAGAAACATCAAGCCAGACAAGAATTTAAGTTTTCCATCTGTTGACTTGCTTTCCATTGCCACGCCATGCTTCTCTCAGCTGCAAGAAGCAATTCCCTTAACAAACCTGCAAATTTGTGCTGACAGCTTCCTCATGGACAGCAATATGTAGCTTTGGTTTGATATAATTAAAACTAAACTGCATGTCTTCAGTGATTGAGGAGGACAGGCATTTACTTAGGAGAGTGGAAGGCTAAATTTAAAATCTAACAACATTGTTCCTGCTTAAGAGCGCTCCGATTCCTACAGAGAGCACGTCTCTCCAAAGCAAACTTTTTCTCAATTACATGTTATTTTAGACCCAACTGTGATTTTCTACTTCACCTCCCTCGGTCTCTTGTTCTCCATCAACTCTGCACAGCCGGCCAAGAGAGAAAAAGGGAAAAGAGTGTATTCGAGAACACATAGGAAAAGAAAATTGGAGGTTGCCACTGGTTGGTGTGCTCTTGGATGAGGAATGCCCAAGCATCACTACGCAGGGTGTTTCAATGCCAGACCCCCTGAACACCCAGGGACAGGCGCTCTGGGAAACTAGAGCAATCAGGGTGGGGTTGCCTCAGAAACATGATTCTAGGGGCCCAGATTCTAGGGCCCAGATCCTGCTTTTGGCCTCTAAGGGTTGCCTACTAATAAGCCTTTTTAATCCAAAAATACGGATGAGAAAAGAGGTTGGAAATCTGGGACTTTCATTCCACCTTTCCAGCCCACTGGCTGGTGGCTGGAGTGGACAATGGCCACTTCGTCTAAATGCCCAGAAGTCCTTTCAAAGCATGAATTTCAGGTTCGGCTTTGGGATGCCTTGTAAATATCCTTCTCTCTTTGAGGGCGGGGTTTTTCCTCTTCACCCCACCGAGCCTCTTCTCTCGGTGTTCCCAGTGTCCCCTCACAGATCACAAATACCTTCATCCCTGGGGCCGCCAGGACTCGGCAAAGGATTCCTCCAGAGGCAATGGAGACTATCCTGCTGGCAGCCCCGAGTTCTGGATTTCTCTGCCAGAGGATACGCAACACAGAGGAGCTGAGGCGGTGACCGTTCAGCCTCCCCTCTTCCCATGAATGCGTCCCAGTCCTCACACCATCTGGACTCGGCTGGTATTCGGATTAGCAAGGATCTTTCCAACACACCCTCGCCCACTCTGAGTAGATGGCTAAGGGAACAGTAAAAGGAACACCACCCGCACCAGCACCACTATCCCTTAGACCTCTTTGGGGTCGACCAGCTTCTGGGAAGTGTTGGGGCCGCGGTAACTGGCTACCTGGGGAGGCTTCGGAGGCAGCTGGAAGCTTGGCATCCGCCAGACAGAGGCTATGCTGGGCGCGGGGGAGAGCCCCGGGGTGACGATGGGTGGGCGCTACCCTCCCGCCAGGTGCGGGAAAGCTGTGGGGTTGCGCCCCGCCGGCCGCCCCACCGCCCTCCCCACCGCCGCTGGGGTTCCGGGGCCGGGCCTGGAGGCCGGCACGTGTGGGCAGAGGGAAGCCGCAGATCTAGAGAGACGGAGGACTGCGGGGTCTCGGGGACGGAGAGGCCGGGGTCGGCGTGGGGAGCCCGCTCCCGGAGCCTGCGAGAGGGAAGGAGGGAGGGCTGGGCCGGGCCAAAGGGCAGGGGAGAGGAAATCGCCGCCGTGGCGGAAGGACTGAGGGAAGTCAGGAGAGCCGCAGACACGGGGCGGCGTCCCGGGAGCGCTCGCCGAGAAACCCGGGACCCCAGAACGGGCTCCCACACCTGTGGCTTTGCGCGGCGCCCGGGGCGCAGCCCGCGTCCGGCTCCTGGCGGTCGGAATCCCGGGGCTCGGGGACGCGCTCGGGGACCTAGCTCCCTACGTCGTTCAAGGACAGAACCGTGCGAGACAAGGCTACCCTCAGGATAAGAGGAGGTGTGGGGTAGTTGAGAGGGCAGGTCGGCCAGTTGGGAGAGCCGGCCCGGGCGCCTACGGGGAGAGGGAGGCGAGAGGGAAAGGACCACGACGCAGGCTGAGGCTGCTCGGGGACCGACGGCCTCCCGGGACCGGCAAGGGGGTGGGGGCGCGGGGGGCGGCGTGGAGCTTGGGGAGAGCCGAGTGCAGAGGTGGCGGCCCAGGGCTGGGGTCCCGCCGAGGACTGGAGCGCGCGGGACACTCACCCACCGCCCAGTGGTTGCCACGCGGGTACATCTTGTCCAGCACGGTCCCCGCGCCCGCCGGCACCGGGGCGGCCGGCCCCCGAGGCGCCTGGCAGAGGACCAGCGCCAGCAGGACCAGAGGGAGCTCGCGGCCGCGCATGGTCCCGGCGGGAAGCCCTTGGAACGCGCGGTGAGGCCGGCGGAGCGCGCTCTCCCCGCGGAGCAGTGGCGCGAGGACCCGGACTCGGAGAGCGCCGCCGCCGCGCCCGCGCCGCTGCCGCCGCCGCCTCCACGAGGCCCGCACTTTATAAGGCAGCCCGGGCGGGGGGATGGGGCGGAGGACGGGCCGGGGGGCTCTTCTCCCGCCGCCCCGAGCGCTCTGACGTCTCCCTGCGGCGCTGGGACAGCAGTCCCCGAAAATCATCCATCTTCCCGCCGAGGGAGGGGAAAGGCTGCGCCCACGGCCCCTCTCGACCTGCCCTCGTAATCCTATCCGTCCGGGCCCCGCTGGATTAATTCTGCCCGTCCTCGACGCCTCCGCTCCAACACGATTTCACCCCGGGGTTCTGCGGGGTGAGCCGCCTTCGGGTCCTGCGAGGGGCAGTGGAGACCCCGCGGCCGGCCGGATCCCGGGGTGGGGCTGGGGGAGAAGCCCAGAGGAAGGACGCCCTCAGGCTGGGCTTTGCTGGATGCGGTTGGAACCAGGATAGCAAGGGACTTCGCATTCTCACACCTTCCCCCCTCGGCGGACCACCTCCCTCCTCAAGGTCCCAGCCCACAGACCTCCAGAACCCCAGGTCCCTCTTACACACAGACACCCCCGCCCCCCGCCTTCTCACCACCACCACCACCACTCATACCCTCATCCCACACCTGAAAGGGCAGTTCGGAGATGCCCTTGGCCAGTGGTCTGATGAGATGCAGGTCGCAGCAGGGAGGATATGTTGTGTGAACAGAACTAACAAGGATTTTATTATACACCTGGCCCCTTTCCTAAGCATATTGCTTTCACGAAGAAGCTGCTTTTGTGCAGATTTCCCTAGGCGGCATCTATCAGAAAGCTCACACCGTCCCTAAACTGCTACTCACACGCCTCTCCAGAGCTGCTCAGCTTCCCTCTGCTCCTTCTGTTCTCAGGTGTGAAGAATAGTCAAGGGCCCAACTCCTGAGGTTCCCAATGCCGTGGACATGAAGGGGGTGGCATCATAGCAATACAACAATAAACAAGCTGGAGGGTGCTGTTGCCCACCTTTAGGCAGCGCTGGGGGCGTGTTTGCGTGCTCCTACAGGGCTGTTCCTCACCAGGGCTAGTGACCTGTCTTGCTGGCGGGTCCCTGATAGGTCCCTGATGGGTCCCTGATAGGTCCCTGATGGGTCCCTGGTGTTCCTTGTCAGCTCTGGTTTTGTTACTGTAGAAGCTGAAATTCTACATTCTTCCCTGCATAGCTGGTGATTCACTACATTTGTGCCATTCCGAGATGGTTCCATGGTCACATTGCATGAGTGACTGTCCTTGGGCTTGGAAGAGTATGTCTGGCTCTAAGGTACCAAAAAATGCTAATTTCAAGATCACGTTATTAACCACAGAAATGCAGTACTGATCTCCTGAGGGAACCACCCAAATGACCATCAGGAAGAAAAGTCCACACTTGGCCTTGACTCCATGTGGCCTGGGTTTCCAGCCTCTGCATCCATCCCATCAGTAAGCAGACACTCCACTGTCAGGTGATTGTCCATAGATTTACTGCCTCCCACTTGGCCATGAACTTTTTTTTTTTTTTTTAAGATTTTATTTATTTATTTGACAGACAGAGATCACAGTACGCAGATAGGCAGGCAGAGAGAGAGGGGAAAGCAGGCTCCCCGCCGAGCAGAGAGCCCAACGTGGGGCTTGATCCCAGGACCCTGAGATCATGCCCTGAGCTGAAGGCAGAGGCTTAACCCACTGAGCCACCCAGGCGCCCCTGGCCATGAACTTCTATTGGTCTTGTCCTGCTGTGTTCCTGCAGAGAACTGATCACAGTCATGTTTAATATGTATCTGATACCTGAACAACGGACCTGAGAAAGGGTCAGGTCTCAATGCTTTCTATGATCTTGGGTCTTTGGAGGAGCATTCAACCTTCATCTTTATAGATTAAGTTGTTGAAAAATGTTCCTTCTCTTTGTTTAATCAAGATTATTTTAGGATCTTTAAAGGATGCTTTGCCCCTATGAGACCTTGTAAAAACCACTATAAGTACATTAAAGTGTGGGAACAATTGTACCACAGGGGCAACGCTTCTGCTAATTCAGGCAAACCACTATTGCTTGGGTCTCTTGGAGGTCGAGAAATACCTGGGCCCCTGTATCCACTCCTGGTCTTCCTGTAAGCATCCCAGCACACCGGCTGTCTGTACCCAGTCTTGGGGTTGGACCTGTGACTTGCTTTGGCACCCCATAAGGGCAGTGACTGTGTCAGTCTTGCTCAGGGCTGCGTCCACAGTGCCTGGCCCAGTCCTCGGTCCTGAGAAGAGACTCCATAGACGGGAATGGATGCATTGACCTGCAGATACAGGAGCCTGAGTCCAATCCCCCCCACCAGAAAGATCAACGGAGGGTTACCAGCTAGAGAAAGAAACCATAGCGTGTTTGATTCAACCAGCATTGAATGAGCCCAAAGAGATTGTACCTGGATAAACTTTTCCGTGACTTTTATTTTTTATTTGTTTTTAAAGATTTTTAAATTTTATTTGTCAGACGGGGGGGGGGGGAGAGGAGGTGGAACAGCAGGCAGAAGGAGAGGAGAAGCAGGCTCCCCACTGAGCAAGGAGCCCAAGGCCGGACTTGGTCCCAAGACCCTGGGATCATGACCTGAGCCAGAGGCAGACCCTTAATGGTCTGAGTCACCCATGTGCCCCTTGTCTATACCTTTTAAAATCTTCACACAGCCCTGCCAGGTAGAGATGATTAACCCCACTGACTTAGGGGAAAGCTAAACTCCTCTGAGAAAGAAGTCTCACGATGCGATGCCACGTTCAAAAGACCCGTCTGTGTCTCTTTCTTGTTAGCGTCCAGGGCAGATGTTCTCAGAAAGTAGCTGTTCCAGCCACATGGATATTCCAGAACCCGGCTTCATTCCAACCTGTGGCTCTACCATTCTCTAATGTGCCTCTCCTCAAAGGGCTCTTCCATGAGGAGACAGGGGCATGTACCAAAATGGAAATCAATGCCCTGCTTCCCTCATCGAGAACATCTTACTACGGGAAAAAGAAAGTGTCCGTTGAGCTAGCTGTTTTGCATTCTGGCACAAGTTCTTTAGCACGGTATAGAAGAGCAACAAAAGGTTCAAGGATGAGCAGCTGATGGGGGACCACACTTCATTAGGACTGTTCTAGTCCTGGACTAGAAGGGGAAAGTGAAGAGGCATGCCCCCTCTCTTAATACACAGGCAAATGTAGCGCTTACCTCTTCCTCTCGTATTTCATTGGTAAACAAGGCAGCCACAAGGCCACGGGTAAGCGTAAGAGAGACTGGGAGTTGTGGCCTTGATAGTCAGGTGCCTGGCTCGGATTGTCCCTCTGTGGACAGCTAACAAAACCAGCCTAGTGTACCTCAGGTGCAAGGAGAGTCTTACCAATTGTATTTAATAAAGTATGATGAAACTCTACAAGGCTGGCACAGAGGGGAATCTCTTCATAGACAGGAAAGACTGGACCTGTAGTCCAGGTCCCTCTGTCCCAAAGATCTATATCCCTTAGGGAGCCTCTTGCTGTTTCCTGTAGCCAGCACCCTTTAGGCTTCATGGGGTGCTAGACTCTATTATCACTGTCGGAAATTAGGAACACTTAATCTAATCTTTCTAAATGGATCTTACCATTTTGCTATGTTCACAAAAGTTTTATGTGACAGAGGGGCACAACATTTCAGTGACATTAATTTTTCATGTGTGTGAGGTTGGGCTAGGGTGGCCCTCATGTCAGCTCTGACATGAGTGGCTCTCATGTCAGCTCCGCTGGTCTTGACTCCTGACCTAAGTTGGGTTGAAGTCTGCTCCAGGTTTCTCTCCCCCTGCTGAAACCAGTGGGCTGGCCAGAGCTCTCTCTTCTGACTGTGGCAGAGATACAACACAGGAGCTCTCTTAACGCCTAGACTTAGAACTTACACCTTGTCGCCTATCTCTTATGCCATTGGCCAAATCAAGTCACATGGCCATGCCCAAAGTCTAGGGCACGGGAGCTCTTTCCCAGAACAGACAGTGGTCGGAGGGTGGAGGCAGGAAGCAGTAATGAGACCAGTCCTCCACAGTTCATCACAGTACGGAGAATAGAGGGAAAAGAGAGACAAAAAGTGATATCCAGCAAAATAATCTGGCCAACAGAATGGTGTTCATTCATTTTTAACTTGGCATTCCCACGGGAGACTTCCAGGGCCACACCCCCACCTGCCCTTCTTCTCTCTACTCCCACGTGGCGTTTTCCAGGAAATTCTATGGCTGTTTTCCCCAGCAGGCTCTCTACTCCACAGGGGATGAAGTATACATCCGAGTCTTATAGGAGCTAGGATTGGCCTCCGTCTCCCCTAGAGTCACTGCCATGAACTATTTCCTCCTTTCCACACCTGCTCCATTCTCCATACTCTGGACTGGCTTCCCTGCCCGCTCATGGGTTTCCATTCCCACGCAACATCCACCTGCTACCTGAGAATTGTCTCCCCAGGAACTTGCTGTAGGAGACTACTTTTCATGGTGCCTCCTGTGTCCTATGTCTGCTGGAAACTGCCTCCATCTCTCAGTTTCCTAATTCCTGATTTCCAAGGGAGAAACACGATCTGCTCAGCTCATTATGTTTACCCAGCTGCACAGCTCATAGAAGAATGAGTCCAGAATGTGCCGTCAACCCTCATCAGGGGTTAGGAACACAGGGGGACGTATGTGGCAGTGTCCGCTCCATGGGGCTCAGGGCAGGGCAGTGTTCCTTGAAAAGAAGGCATGAGCAGATGGGTACCCAATGTCCCCTACACCATGACCCTTCTCTCCAGATGCTCAGGTATATACTGTCTTGTGCCTGCTATTCCATGATTTGTGCTTTTCCTTTTAGATCAGTGACTCCCAGACATTTCATTGCTACGGGCAATTTTAAAATTAATTTCTCCCATGGAACTCAGGTTTTGATGGGCTTTT